CTAGAACACGAACCATGGTCGGCCATATGGGGCCCGGCTTCCTCCACGCAGTGCTTAACTGCAGCACTGCAGGCTCGTCCCCACTGACTTCTGTTCTCCAGGCTCAGCCTGTGTTTCGGGACCCTCAGTCATGATGCTCCGTCATTAGTTAGGGGTCTGCTGTTAGCACATGTGGGTCCAGAAGTGCAAATGATGCAAATTAGGGCAGACCATCCAGCTGGACTTTCCTGCTGCTTTATCAACCTCGCCCTCAGGTCATCCTGTCCCTCCTGCCCCCTGCAGTTTCTGGATCCAGAGTTACAGGATCCGGAGTTCAGATCACGGGAACACGTCAATTCCTGAAAAGCTTCAGGGTAGCCTTGCTTGGGTCACAGACCTACCCCTGAACTACCCCAGTGTCCAGAGAGATGACAGGCCCATCAGGAGATGACTGACAGATGTCCTTATTTCTGTGATGGAGGAAGCAGAGTCCCATGACACACGCCCAGTGAGATGGGGACAGCCCTGCTTTGTGACTTCCAGCCAGGTCTGTGGGAAAGCAGTTGAGAATGGTGCTTCCTAGCAGAAACTTTTGGGGTTTCTGGGAGTACTGCCCCCAAAGACCGAGAAAAGGGACAAGGAAAACCCAGGTAGAAGCCCCTGCAGAATCCATGCCCTCTGGTTGTTCTGGGGACTCTAGCATCTTCAGCCTCTGAGCAAGCAAACTGTTGTGGCCTGGGCCTCGGGGACAGGGCTGTGCTGCTCCAAGCAGTCCTCCCAGCAGCCCCAGCGTGGGCATTTAAGGGCACGCAATGGCTGTGAGTGAGATGAAGGTGGCCCGCGCACATCCCGTGTAGGAGGAAGACAGGAAATTAACACACAAGCCCGTGTTGTATTTTACCACCCTGGACCTGGCAGAGGGAGGGAAGGAAGGTGTCCCCTGCAGGCCCAGGGCCGTAGGACAGCCACGATGTTCCTGCCTCCACTGGCTGCCCTTCCTTTCCTCTGAGAGGGAGGCCTTGGCCCTCTGCCTCAGGCTGGCCAACTCTGCAAAGGCTGTACAGAGAAACCTCCATGGATGTGATGGAGACACCCCTTGCCCAGCTAGTGGACCCCAGGTCTTGCAGGATCAAAGGAAGTGGATAGTAGAACCCCTTCTATCATACCAACACATCATGGTCCTCCTCTTCGTCCTCCCCACGGCCGAGTGTACGGAATGTCCCCTCGTGTTCATCCAAATGTCAGAACGCCCAGGGTGCAAACAGGTCAGGTGGGTGTTCTGCAAGTGCCAACGACCACCTCCCGCAGGCTGGCCTTGGCTGCAGGTGAGCATCCAGCCCTACTGTAGTGAGCTCTCAAGGGTACTCAGTGACCTCCCTGAGGTCCCAGGATTATGAGCCACCTGTGACTCGTCTCAGCACCCAGAAGGTGAGTGGGTGCAGGTGTCTGGTGCTCTGAGAACCACCCCAGCCCTGGAAGCCAGGGAGGTACCAGGGGATGTCAGTGGTGCACCCATCCACCTGTGGCTGCTGTTGTTCTGCCCCGTGACTGAGGGCCTACATCTGCCTGTCACCCACGATGCTGTGGCATCAGCTGTCCTCAAGAGGTTGAGCCTCCCGTGTTCCTTCTTCTTGAAGATCACCCAGTGTGTCATCACACCCACCTGTCCTCTTCCAACCTGGCTGATGGCCCAGGACACAGGGTCTAGGGGCCCTGGGGTGGAGAGCATCAGCCAGGGCTGGCACTGGCTTCTCTCCCTAGTCTTCCTCCCTAGGCCGGGCCTGCAGAGACCGCGTCACACGTGGGTCAGGGGCCAGCCTGCTAGGTTCACGCCACGGCTCTGTCACTCTGTGCCATGACATCACACTCAACCCACGTGCAAGCCGATGAAATCTGGGGCCTGGGCGGTTTTAGAGGCGAGTCGCTCAGGAGACAAAAGGTTTGGAGCGGAAGCAGGAAGGCGAGGGAGTTAGATCTGTGGTCTCTTCCACCTGCAGTGGGGTCTTGTTCCCAGTTCGCTCTGACTCCAGTGGTCTGGGACGCACTGCCCATGCTGCCCTCTCTCAGGCTTCTGTGGGCTGTGTCGGGGGGTCACTGGGGTGAGCAGGGCTGGGGGAGAGAGATGGACCCAGGGGAGAGCAGACCTGAGGCCGTCGGAAAGGGATCCTGCCACCCCCTCTTCTCTCACCGCAGGCAGAGACGGACACAGTCTGTGGGCCCAGGCAGCCACAGGGACCCTGGATCGTGGCATGTGAGCCAACAGCTCAGAGCCAGTTAGGCCAACCCCTCCCTATAGAAAAAGAAACCAAAAGCAATGGTTCGACCGCCATCCCTGAGCCAAGGAGACCCGGGGCTAGATTCCAGCTCCCTGGGCTAGGGTATTCATTTCATGGGCTCTCCAGAGCTGCAGGCAGAGGGTAGTGGTACTCCCCAGAAAGGATGGGAGCAGGCCTTCGGGACGAGCCCACTGACTGTTAGCAAAGCCAGGGCTGTGGTGTGGAGTGGTGGGGACCCCCTGAAGTCCTGGGAGAGGACCTCGGCCTCTGAGTTCCTACCCCAGCGATAAGGCTATCGTACTTTGTTACTATTCATGTGTTCACCCTGAGGTCTCCCCTCACCGCGCAGTGGTGGGACTGGGCTTTCCTCTCTCCCTCTCCGTTGTCTCTGCAGCAGCCATCAGACAGACTCCTCCACCTCCCAGTGTCTGGGCAGACCCCCACAGCGAGCCTCCTCTGGTGGCCACTCACTGCTGTGAGCTGTGCCAGGGCCTCAAATGCTCCCCAAGAGAAGCCCTGGAGACTCTGCCAGGAAGTAGAGAACTCTGCCATGAACAGAAAAAACACAGTGGTGCAAATTACTTGGGGCAGGCAAAGTATCAGGGAGGAAGGGGTGGAGAAAGAGACAGCAGCGTGTGAGGATACAGGCAAGCCTCACAGATACTGCGGGGTCAGTTCCAAACCACCATGATAAAGCAAGTATTGCAGGAAAGTGAGACACGTGGATTTTTGGTGTCCTAGTGCTTTTGAAAGTTAAGTTTATGGGGCCAGCAAATGGTGTAGCGGTTATGTTACTAGACTTCCACATGGCCAATCACGGTTCAAGTCCCAGACCTGGTGGCTTGAAACTCAGGCCTGGCATGTGTGCATGTGTGCCCAAGATCCTGAGAACAGAATGGGGGGGAAGGGACTGCAGATGGCTGTCCCACCTGGGGGGTTCTTTCTCACTTTCCCTCTCACTGTCTCTGTCTCTCTCTCTCTGTTGAGTTCATGCGCCCTAAGGCAAAAAAAAATCTTAAAAAAAGGGTAATTTTAGGCTATACAGTAGTCTGTTATGTGTGCAATAGCCTTATGACTATTTTTTTGGGGGGAGAGGTTTTTGCTACAGGGTGCGTGCCCTTGCCAGAAAGACAGAGAGAGAGAGTGAGAAATCACCCCCCAGAGGGATGGCTACGCCGCAGTCCCTTCTCCTACATTCTTCTCTCAGGATCTTAGGCATGCACACACACGTGCCCGGCATGAGTTTAAGCCACCGGGTCCAGGACTTGAACTGTGGTCAACTGCATTGGAGTCCAGTCACATAGCTATTATGCCAACTGCCAACTGCTGGTCCTGTAATAGCCTTATGTCTAAAAAAGATAATAATAATGTTCTGGGACCAGCAGTTGTTGGTCAAGTTCATTGTCTTGTGTGAGTGTCGTACATGGTGCCTCAAAACAATGCCGGTAGTAACAGCAAGGATCACTGACTGGACCGGTCCTGTGGCACAGTGGTTAAACACGGGGCGTCTAAAATTAGATCCCACGTGGCTAACTGTGGTTCGTATCCTGGCCCCGGCAGCTTGAAAACCACACTGGGCACGTGCATGTGTGTGCCTAAAATCCTGACCAGATGGAGAGATGGAGGAGAGGGGACGGTGGCATGCCCACCCCTCACTGGAGGTGCTCTCTCTGTCTCTCTAGTGATCACGTATGATCACGCATGTCCTCTAACGATGAAAGGGAACCACACACGTGTACACACACATACACACACCACACACGCGCTGATCACAGATCACCATGACAGATGTAATAGTAATGAGAAAGTTTGAGACACTGTACGGGTTGCCAGCATGGGCCACAGAGACACGAATGAGCACATGCTGTTGGGAAAGTGGCACCGATGGGCTAGCCTGACGCAGTGTCGCTGCAGACCTCCAGTCTGTATAGGTTATGTATAGATAGGTAGGTATAGACAGATATGTGTATATGTACACTTAGATATATGTGTGTGTGTGCACATATGTTTACTTGTGTGTGTGTGTATCTGCAAAATAGAGCAGAGGGAAGCACAGTAGAGGGTGTGCACGTACCTTCCAGGGAGGGACTGAAGGTGGTCTGAGGAGTCCCAGGCCCGGGTGCTCAGAGGAATTCGCAGTAAATGTTTGAATGAACAAACGAATCCAATGAATGAGCCTCAGTCACTTGGCATGGTTGTCTAGGGTTATGCGAGGATGCAGTGCCCACTTCACTACGGCTGAAACGTCCACACAGGTAAGGGCAACTGTGAGGAGCACGGATGTGAAAACGCCACTGACCCGCGATGGGGGAGAGGAAGCAGCCGTTAGAGAAGCCGGGAGGCGTTTAAGCGTGGCTGCCTTTGAAAGCAGAGAAGGCGGCCCAGCTCCAGCCCGACCAGTGGTCCTAATGGGTTGGAAAGACCCTACATGGCCCCTGGGACGGCCATGGCTCCCTGGGCCTTTCCTGCAAGCTGGTTTTCACACGTCGGCCCCATCACTGTTTCTGTTTTGTTTTTTCATTTTCTCATCAGACAAGTGGAAGCATGGATCGTGGTTTCCCGGCCCCTGTTCTCGGGGGGCACGTTGGCCTTTTCTTAGAAGAGGCAGAAGCCTGGTGTTTGCCAAGCACCCAGGCTGCCTGGCTCTGTGCCCTGCCCTCTGTGCCACTCCTCCCCCCCTCACCCTGGCCCCCGCCTGCCTCTGCTGCCCTGCTGGTTCTCAAGGCCCTGTTCTGTCTCTTGCAGGCTGGTGGTTCGTAAGCACCTCTGAGGAGCAGGGCTGGGTCCCTGCCACCTACCTGGAGGCCCAGAATGGTACTCGGGATGACTCAGACATCAACACCTCCAAGACGGGGGAAGGTAAGGGCCTGCAGGGACACGGGGATGGGGCCAGGAGGCGGGGGTGGGGGCTGCCTACCTCTGATGGCATCCCCTCCCAGAGGAAGCTCTCCCACTCTACTTCCTAAAACCATCAGAACCCCTAAAGTGAGTTGGGCTGGAACCCAGCCCCTTGGGATCCGACCTTACCGAGACGGACCCACAAGTTCCCCTCCCATCCCAGGCCTGTCCCTGCTGGGCTCACAGGTGCAGCCGAGAGTAGAGGAAATTCCCTTGGGATGTGGACTTCTGGTTTCAGCAACTTTGGGGTGATACTGAGAAGAGCCTTAGGGTTAGAGATCCCCGCAGGGCCCCCTCCCCAGAAGCCCTGTGCTCGTTGGGACCCCAGCAAGTCTTTGGTCCGCCACCTGCATGCAGCAAGGGCTGTCCCAAGGGCCCGCGCCCAGGGCCCCGCCGTGTGTGTGTCCTCTCCCTGAAGCCCCTCCGTCCACGAGGTGTCAGTCTGGCCTTGGGGCAGACGCAGCAGCCTGAGCCGTTCTCAGTGTCGGCGCTGAGGCGCTGCTCTCCAGCACCACCAGCTTCTAAGGAGCTCTGGCTTGGCGAGGTTTTTCTTGGTCTTTCTCCTTGCATTGCAAGGAGCGTGTCCGTGCCCCAGGCCAGCGCTGGCCTCAGCCGCCGTCTGTGGCCTCGGTGTTCCCCTGCACAGGCTGCCTCAGCCACCCCAGCTCCCGCAGCCTGCTCCAGACGGCTTCCAAACCTCCCAAGGCCTGGCAGCGGGAGTTCTTTCCC